AATCTGAATGCTGGAATTACTTTCCACCCCAATAGTACCTATCCCTGGCTAGCCTGTAACTTTTTATGTAGGTCAGCTTAGCTTCCTACCTCTGCTTTCTGAGTGCTGGGATTACAGGTATGTGCTTCCCTGCCTGGTATGTAGATTCTTTTTCTATTTTTATAAATAGCCAAGAATTTCCCAATTCTAGTTCACAATGGTTCCGCCACCTTCGTAGGAGTTTAAAGAGTTTTAGTTTTACATTTAGATGTAAACTGATTTTGAATTAATTAAAAAATTATATGTGAGAGATAACCTATGTGCTGTGGTGTTCATATGGAGGTTAGAGGAAACTTTGTGGAGTTGGGGTTCTCCTTTTACTTTAACTGTGTTTGGGGATCTAACCAAGATTGTCAGGCTTGTGCTTTACTTACTTTGCCATTTTCCTAGCCCCATTTTGAGTTAGTTTTTGTTTGTTTGTTTATGATGTAAAGTAAACTATGGATCTAAATGATTTGTAGGACTCTTTTGAGGCCCAGAGGTAAAGATGGTGACTGAAGCTGTGGTGTGCCTATTAGCACACCATTGTCAATGTTTTGTTTTGAGACAAGGTCTCATTGTTTAGCCCCTGGCAGACCTGGAACTCAGTAGGTAGACTAGTCTGCCCTCAAACACAGAAATCTACGTGCCTCATTGTGGATTGCCATGCTTGCAAATGGTGTGTGTGTGTGTGTGTGTGTGTGTGTGTGTGTCTGTCTATTTCACTTACAAACACTAATCAGTCATGAAAGATGTGGTGAAAACATTTTCTGTGTGTTGATTTGTGTTCTAGATTCATTGCCCTTAATGTCCCTGCCTTTGGGTGTACTGCTGAGCAGTGCTTTGAGGTGCTTTGGCTGGCAGGAAATCTATACCACCCACTTTGAGGAGCCATGGGAGAATAGCCTGGTAGAGAGGAAGAATGTTAAGAACTGAGAACATTACAGAGCAGTCCTCACTGTCTTCTGCTCTTTGTGGGCACTGCACTTGCCCATTCCAAGGAACTTGGCACACTCCTAACTGCCTAGTTGTCCTTCACTCTGAAGGAAGGTTTGGAAAGTTGGGCTGTGCTTTAGGTTCTGTAAAGATGTAATGAAGGAGCAGACTGAGAACACAAGTAAAAAGCCCAGGTTGTTGCTGTTGGCCCTAGTCTACCTTCAGGTTTGGGACTTCAGCAAGCAGAAAGTAGAGAGGCTCTGTATAAGGATATGCACTGAATTGGAGAAAAGCTTCAAGGCAGCACAGTGCAGGTACTGAATTAGTATTTTCAAAGTTTAAAGTGCATGTACATATATCTCTTGGAGATCTTTTTCATTTGAGGTCCAAATCCGCCTGTTGTGGAGGCTTTTGCTTTGCTTCGGTTTCTATGGTAGATTCTCCACAGTCTTTATTACATTAGTAGAAACATGGTGAGGACAGTGCCAGATCTGTTGGCTTGTGAATAGCAAGGTTGTTGTTGAAGGTAAGGGTGTTGAGGGGAATCTCTTTGGAAGTGGTATAAACATTGGGGATGCTTTGGTAAAGGGTCAATATTGGAGCCTTTGATCTTGGCTTCAGTTGTTAGTTTTTCTCATTTGCATTTTCTTGTAAGGTAAATGGACCAAATAATAGAGCCCTAGGCTATTTGTTGAGAGAATTAAATGATACAGTCTGTGTCATACTTTAGGATGGTGTAGTGCTTAGCTTAAACGCTTCTCAAAAGATAAGTTATTAAAAGTAAATATTTACATTTAAAAGTTTGCCAGTATTTCAAAGTACTCAATCTGTACATCTTTTCTCAGTCTGTTACTGTTAGTTGCGGCTTAAAGAGAATGGAATATTTGCCTTCTTCTAGGCTAGACTGGGATATAATACCTGCTCTTAAAACCAACCCCTTTCTCCATACCCCACAAAGACCCCAGAAAGTTGTGACTTATTTTCTGTGGTTTCATTACCTTCAGCCATCATTTCTATTTGCTGTTTAATATTGCTGGCTCTTTGTGTTGATTTGGGATGATTCTGACATAATGGAGGTACTTGCTTTGGGAGCATATATGCTGTAACATTGGTGTTTCTGTTGAAATGACATACAACAATTCACGATACCTTTCTTTAGAAAGGAGAGGGAAATTATTGAACCACTCGGCACCCATGGTCTTAATGACTCAGTGCTGTAATGAAGGCAGTGGGTCCCTAAGCAGACTTGGAGTTTTAGCTAGGGCCTAGTTTGGTGCCCTTTCCTTTGCTGTTGTTGTTGGTTGCAGGAGGGGCGGGGACAAAACTCCTGTTGACTTCTTGGTGGCCAAGTAGTTCTTTCAGGAATTTGCATTCAGGTGAAACTGCTCTTTTGACTGTGCCCAGGCAGAGAATTTCAGGATGAGTCAGTACCATGAGTCGGAGTTTATTAAGAAACAGCTTTCACATAGATGAAGGCCAGCATACCCCAGTGTGAGTGTGTGCTTCTCAAGAGAGCTGCCCCTACTGTTGTAATAGCCATACAACCTCTGTAGGTACATTGTTTAAAGCGTTTCTAAAATACTCCTCTTTTTTTCCAGTAAGGTCCTAGAGCTGTTCTACAGTACAGTGGATGGTAGAGTAAAGAGAAAGTAAACTGGGGGTCAAAAGGGCATTGAAATGCTTCTATGCTAAGTGAAGTTTATAGCCCTGGTTCAGAACCTCAGATACCTAATCACAAGATTATAATTGGGAAAGAAGTAAAGCCCCATATGTTCAGGCTGTACGTATCTTGAAATACCTCTGTATAAAAGGATTTTTTTTTTTTATAAGGCACCATGTAGCTCAGGTTGACCTAGAACTGATGGTCCTGCTTCTGCTTCCCAAAGTTCTGATGACAAACATGTACTTACTATCTATCACACCAGGCTTTATGTGGGAGAATTTCATTGTGCTGAGTTCTTGACTCTGAGCAGACAAGAGACTTCAGCAAACTGCAAGGTGAGGGACTCTTTTTCCTGGTTACTTTTCCTATCTTTCTAGCTTACTTGACTCCTTCATATTTGATTAAAACTAAAGCGGCTTGCCTGGGTGTGGTGAAGAATACCATCAATCCCAGCACTTGGGAAGCAAAGGCAGGTGGATCTCTGTGCATTCTAAGCCAGCCTGATTTATATACTGAGTTCCAGGCCAGTCAGAGCCATATAACCATACCGTGTCTCAAATCTAAAAGCCAAAAACCAAACACCACTGTCAAAACCCAGGTTTGGCTATAATTGTCAATAACTTCAGTTCCAAGGAGTCTGATGCCCTCTTCTGGCTTTCTCAGGCATGAGGCACTTACGTGCAACATATATATGCAGGCTAAACACTTATATACGTAATATAAAGTAAATCTTTTTGTGGTTTTGCTTTTTTTGAGACAGGCCGTCACTGTGTAGATTAGGCTGGCCTTTAACACAGAGATCCATTAGGCTGGCCTTCAACACAGAGATCCACCTGTGTCTGTCTCTTGAGTGCTAGAATTAAAGGCATGGCCACCAAACCTGATCCTAAAAATAATTTCTTTTTTTTTTTTTTTTTTGTTTAAAGCTTTGAGATCTCAGAGAAAAGAAGATGTGTTAGCTTAAGTTCCCAGTTTTGCTATAGGTTAATAGAATGCCTGCATAAAGACCACAAAATACTTCAGGCTTTTCAGACCGTAGACTACCTGTATCACCAACGCCTAGCTCTTGTAGGTGCTAGTAATGAGCTGATTGAGAGCAACCAGGCTTTATTCTTGAACTCTGAAGTGTAAATTTTATTTAGTTTTTATGTGACTGACACACTATTATCATTCCTTTAGCTTTATAAAATTTAATAGCCATGAGTTGTACAGAGTCAAGTGAGGCAGGATTGGCCTGCAGGTTGTGGTTTTCTGCTCTGGAATAGAGAGCAACCCATGTACCTATTGTGTAAAACCACTTGTTGTTTTAGTTAATAGAGTTTCTCTTATATTTTTAGCTGCTCCTGAAAATAGATGTGTTTTTTCCTGGCTGAAGCTGAGGTGCTAATATGCACTGTTGGCTTTTGGACTTTATTCTACCTTCACTGGAGCTCAAAAGTTGATTCCCTCAGCTGGCATTGTGTCGGCTTAGCTGGCATGTGAGGGTCATGCTGTGGATGCAGCTGCTTGCCTTTTGGTGGCATTTGTTAATTAAGCTGTTTAATCTTTGTTGATTTCTCAAGGACTGACTTACCAAAAAAAAAAAAAAGTTAGTTTGTTATTCTAGAGCTATAACCTAGTATATTCCTGCCCATTAGAAGTAACATTAACTTGAAAATTTTGTTAATTAATGGGTTAGAAATTAAATTCTACCTCACCCCCATGTCAGACAATAGTAACTGAAGACATCATGGCATTGTAGTGTGTAGAGAGAGGCAGGTCTGTAACAATGTGATGATTAGTTTTATTTATTAATTTGACACAGTTGGAAGTCTCAGCAAGGGATGGTCTAGAACAGGTTGGCGTGTGGAGATGTCTGTAGGGGATTGTCTTGGTTGTTAATTGATGTGGGAAGACCCATCCCACTGTGGGTGGCACTATTGCCTGGGTTGAGTCCTGCCTGGTCTGTATTAAGAGTAAAGAAAATAAGCTAACCACTGATGTATGTATTCTCTCTTTCTGTTCTTGTCTTTGAATATGACTAGCTATTTTTTAAACATTTATTTATTTTGTTTTATGTACATTGGTGCTTGACTGCATGTATGTCTATGTGAGGGTGTTAGGGTCCCCGGAACAGGAGTTACAGACAGTTGTGAGCTGCCATGGGTGCTGGGAATTGAACTTGGGTTGTCGGGAAGAGCAGTCAGTGCCCTTAACTGCTGAGCCATCTCTCTAGTCCCATGACTGACAGTTAATTCCTGCTTTGACTTCCTGAAGTCAGGAGGGATTGTAACTGGGAATTGTAAGCTAAATAAACTTCCCTCATTTTCTTTTGGTCAGGACATTCTATCACAGCAGCAGAAGGACCAACAGAAGAAGCATTTTTTTTCCTTTTCTTTCCAATGCACATGGGAAAGCTGAGTGGCAGCTGCAGGCACCATGCTCACCTGGGCTGTCAAAGTCTCTACAGTTACTCTGGTATGCAGTTGGAGATCCCATGGCTACAACTGTATTTCTCATTTCTTTAGACAAGATCTCACCCAGAAGCTTAAGCTGGCCTCAAATTGGTCCTGAATTCCTGATTTTATTGCTTCTACCTCTAAAATACAGAGTCATACATGTTAGCCATCACTCTCAGCCAGAAAAAGTGTTTCTGAGAACTGTAGACCTGAGTTTAAGTATTATATTGAATTAATTAATCTCTCTCTCTCTGCCCCTGTCTCTCTGTCTGTCTGTCTGTCTCTCTTCCGAGACAGGGTTTCTTTATGTAACCTTGACTGTCCTAGAACTTGTTCCATAGACAGTGGCTTCCAACTCCAGAGATCCACTTGCCTCTGCCTCCTGAGTGCTGGAATTTAGGTGTGTGTCACCATTGTTTGGCTGTGTTTAAATGCTCTTGGCCTGGACTTGACTTTGGTAAATTAATTTGGTTTCTCTTCATCTCAGAGCCTTTTCTGGACAGTGTTTATGATGCCAGTTTTTGAAGTTATTGTGTAGTTATTGTATGAAGTGGTATGTAAATAAAGTTAGTATCTTTTCCACATTACAGTATTTTACTGCTAAAGATTCATTTTTTTCCCCTGTTGGGTTTTGCTGTCTTGTTCGTGAGGTGGTTTATTAGTTAATTCATTTGCAAGATGTTTGTTGAATGAAGTTTTGTGCCTGGAAGAAGATTGTCCTGAAGCTGTATCTGTGAGGAGTGAGACCAGCACAGCTTTGTGGCCAATGTGCTGTGCTTTGCTGTTTGATGTATGCAGTGCCCTTGACACTGTGTGCCCAGGGAACCTATAGGTGGTGCTTTAGTTCAAGGCTTGGCAGATACTCAGTCTTTGTAGGCGGCATATAGCCTTACACATTCTTTTTACCACCATGTATCCCCATTTCCTTTATAAAATATAAAAACAAAACAAAACCCTTTAAACATGTGAAAAATATGTAGCCCAGGAACCATACAGAAACTGACTAGGCCAGATGGGGAAATTAGTCCCCTCGGGATTCAAGTTGGGAAAGCCATGGAGGTGTGAGAGGCTTGGATGTTATGGACTGAACAGTTTTGGTTATGTTTGGAGTAGTACAGGTTGGGTTAGTTTGAGAAAAAGCTTCTACTAGACAGAGAAGTTTGCACTTCTGATAGGAACTTTGAGCCACAGAGTGACAGAAACAGATTTATATGTCAGGATGGTTCCACTGGAATCACAGGGCTCATAAGGAAGGTATCACAAAGTTACTTACCTGAGAAGGGGCAAGAACCCATACTTTCTGTCCTCATCCTTATAGAGTAAATTGCTACTCTGCTGTGGCTTAGCTAGCCAGACAAAGGGCCCAAAGTTGAGAGCTCTGATAGGTTCTTGTAGCGTTGTAATTATGTTGTGCAGAAAAAGGCCTTAATTAGGGAGACAGTGGAGGATCGATTTTGAAGCATGTTTGTGCAAACTCTGACCATGAAAAGAAAGTCAAGGTTCCAAGGATCCAGGGAACAGCAGGGCAGCTCCCTGGTCTCCTCTCTCTTTAATTAAAAAAAATTTTTTTTTCCTGGTCTTTGTATCTGCTTTATGTTGTTCTTCTAGTTTCTTTCCCTTCTAGAGTTAAACTGTCAACTGTTGCTTTGAGGCAGACATGTTCTTTCCTAGAACTATGAACCTCTGAAACTTTAAGCAGAACTGTGAAGAATAAGTGAATTCCTGTACCTCAAGAGATTCATTAGGAGGGAGGCCAGAGAAGAGCTGTGATGTTCCTTGGTGTTAGGCTGTATTTACCTGACAAACTGGAATGGTGTCTGTAAGGAAAGACCAGTTAGTACATTTACAATAGCTGTCTGTACACAGCCCAGCTGTCAGGTAAATTCATATACTCTAAGTGCATCCTAAGTATCAATCAGCAATTAAAAAAATTTTCCCCCCCCAAATTCTCCTTGGGCCTCTATCCTTAAAGGTAAAACGACACAATTTGAGTATGTATCTCAATGTATATCTCAATGTATCTCAAAGATACCGATGTATCTTTAGCATGTAGTTTAACATTAGACAAAGCTAAAGGTTATAGACTGTAGTCTAAAATTTTACATGACTGTGTTAAGATGTTTCTTTTGGAGTGTTCTGCTGGGTCCTTGGACTAGGTTAGAAGTATATACCAGTGAGATATAAAACAGCATATTGTGATGTTCTGGTGAGCACCTAGGGTAGGGCAGGACAGTATAGTAGCGGCTGGCTGATTGTTTTGAGATACAAGCTATTTCAGTTACTGGATTGGAATACAGATCATAGCTGTCCCTGCAGAGGCATGAGATATCTGACCCACCTGGGGTAGAATTTAGGGAGGAGAGATTGGTGATGGACTATCTCAGATTCTGACTTCTGTTTGGGGCAAAGGGTCATGAGTGGTAAAGATAGAAGAAATGATTGACTGTTGTAATGACAAAGAAGTCACAGTACACCTATATGGTTTCAGATGTCATCCCCAGATTTCAAGCCTAGGAATAGTTGTGACTTCAGTGTTAGCAAAAAGTTAACAATCTACTTTGTCCAATGGAAAATTAATTTGCATTTTGCTTTATTTGGAAGAAGAAACATTAATTACTTACAGGAAGGCATACACTTGAGCCAGGGGGCAGAAGTAACTTCCTTTAAATTGGTATTGTCTAATTGGAAATTGTTTTTTTGATGGTTAATGATTGATTCTGTGTTTGGCAAAGAGTTGGTGTCTTTGATTCCATCTGTTCTAGAACTCTGCTTTTTGCCAGTTAATAGGAAAACATTCAAATTGTTCCAGTTTTATTTTGTCCCCCAGTGTCCTGATTTCTGTAAGTAGTCTAGAATTATGGAGACAGATTTAGTATTAGGGCCCAAGTGCTTTCTCTTGTGAGTTCAGGTGATAAATAGAGAAGACAATGTGCATTAGGGGGAAATCACTCAGAGAATCTTGTTGATTCACAGCTTAGCCAAAGCCTGTTAGTGGGATGAACATGACAGTTTGTGAAATGCGCTTTCCTGAAAAAGGCAGAGAGGAAATTGGAACCATTGCTACTATTGGTAATAGAAGTAAACATAACAAGTCCATTGCCCAACTTTTCCCTATAGTTCCTGGTACTAATTTCCCCATTATCTTGAAGACATGAGGATTGACAAGACATTCATATATTCCTTATTGTTTTGTCTTTGGTTGTGCATGTTTATGGGCATGTGCTATAAAGCATGCATGTGGCTGTCAAAGGACAACTTTATGGAGTAGATTCCCCTTTCATGTGGGTTCCAAGAATTGATCTCAGGTCATCAAGCTTGCACCTTCACTTGCTGAGCCATCTTTCCAATTTCAATTCCTTGTTTAAACATAACTAAAGTAAAAATAACTTAAAAACTAGTTCTACCTGTCTATCAAGTTTAAAGATTTTTAAAAAGGGCTCTAGTGCTAGGAGCTGGGAATTACTGAGTAAGAGCAGCTTCCTGTCCTCTCAGGATCATGAGTGGTTCAGAGAGTAGTGTACTTGATTGATATTCACTATTGGGAGAATGAAAAGCAGTATATTAAACTGCAGCCAGCCTTATTATCACATTTCATGCCTGCTGTAGAATCAAGTCCTCTGCACTACATTTTATTTTAGTATGTTTTGCCTTTTTTGTTGTTTTATGAGACATTATCTCACTGTGTGACCCTGACTGGCCTGAACTCATAGAGATCCATCTGCCTCTTCCTTAGTGCTGGGTATGCATTACTCTTCCTAGCTAATGATTTTCGATAAACATCCCAGCATTGTGAGAAATATTGCTCTAGTGCTGTGTGCATTGTAAAATTTGGAGGTTCCCCAACCACCAAAGATTAAATTATTTGCAAGAACTATTCACAAGGCTTAAAAAAAAGTCCTTGTTCTTAAGTTTCCAAATATGAGACTTGACTGGCTGTGTACCAGGGTTACTGTGTATTATATACCTTTTATTAAAGCAAAAGGTACGGACTTAAAATCAGGAATGGAAAGCATACAGGGAGAGTCCAGGAGAGATCTGTGTAAGCTCCTTCTGCCCTCTTAATGGATTGTGTGGTCAGTGCTTGATCACTCACATCAGTACGTAGCAGCACACATGAAATTGCTTACCTTAGAAGCCTGAGATATGATACCAGGGTTCTTGTTGGGGGAGGAGAGTTATAAAAGCAAGTCTGGCACCAGCATGGCTTATCGTTTCAGAGAGCAAGTCTGGAATCCTACCATCTAAGGTTATCAGGTAAACAGACACAACTTTTTTTTTCTTAAGTTTTGTAGATTTTGACAAATGCAGAATGCCACATACCCATGCTACTGAGTCCTACAAGATCATGCCATGGCTTTACAGGGTCCTTTTTGGTCTGCCATCGATCCCTCCTCTATCAGGCATGGTCACTATCTCCCTGGTTTTGTCTTTCCCACAATGCAGTGGAATTAGAGGTACTGTCTACAGCTTTTGCAAACTGGCTTCTTCCTTCGTTCTTTCCTTTTTTTTTTTTTTTGAGACAGGGTTTCTCTGTAATAGCTCCGGCTGTCCTGAACTTTCTTTGTAGACCAGGATGTCTTTGAAACACTTGTCTCTGCCTCCCTAGTGCTAGGATTAAAGGCAAGCGTCGTGCCCAGCCTACAAACTGGTTTCTTGTCAATATGCATTTGAAGCTCTTCCATGCAGGCCTTCCTTTTGTTTTTTTGAGACAGTGTCTTAATATTTCTGACTGTCCTAGAACTCAGAGAGATTGGAAGATCTGCCTTACTAGTCAGGTAACAGCTCCAACCTTTCTTTGGGCAAAATAATCTTTTATGGGTGGGAGAGGTGGCTCAGGAGTTAAGCCCACTGACAGTTATTCTGAGGATCTAGGTCCCAGCATTCACAGGAGATCTGAGGCCTCTTTCTGGTTTCTGCAGGTACCAGACATGCAAGTGGTGCATTGATCACAAACATGTAGACAAAACACCCCCCACCACATACACACTTCTTTGGTGCACGAGACCTAGAGAAGCAAATTATTTTTGTCATTAAAGAATTTAAGAAATCATTTTCTTTTTTGGTAGAGAATATGACATATCTCTG